GCAATGTTGCTTTTGCCACCTCAAGATGCCATCCAGGCTCTCCCTGGGCACTGAGAGAGCCCAGCTTTGCAAACCAGGTGGGGTTTGGGTTCCCAGTGCTGTTGACGAGCGCTACGTAACAAAGCAGCAAGGGGCTGAGAGCACTGGCTGGCACACGAGGTTTGCAGGGGCTTGTAAGACTTGGTTTTACTTTTGGAACAGTTCCAGCTCTCTCCATATAACAGAACTGTGCCAGAGACACAGCCCACCTCCAGCTCCCAGGGCTCAGCCACCAAGCCATGGCCAACTGTGTCCCCCAGCCTGGTATGTCCACATTCCCAGCACCAGTCCCTCCGTGCTGGTTCACATCACCCCCCAGCCATGCCCTTTCCTTGTTCAGCCTCACCACCCTCCTCTCCCCTCAGTCACCCTCGTGGGTAGGCAACTGCTCTGCTCACAGCCCTGCCCTCACACAGTCACAGAATCATTGGGAGGGACCTCTGAGATCATCAAAGCCAAGCTGTGACCCCCTTGTTCCCCAGCCCAGAGCACTGAGTGCCACGTCCAGTTGTTCCTTGGACACCTCCAGGGATAGGGACTCCACCACCTCCCTGGGCAGCCCCTGCCAAAGCCTGACCATCCTTTCTGTGAAGAAATTCCTCCTGAAGTCCAACCTGAACCTCCCTTGGCACAGCTTGAGGTCCTCTCTTCCTGTCACCTGGGAGCAGAGCTTGACAATCCCCCCACCAGCTGCACCTTTCTGTCAGGGTAGTCCTCATGTGACTGACTTACCCTCCAGACCCTTCACCAACTCCATTGCCCTTCTCTGGACTCGCTGCTGCACCTCAATGTCAGGAAGAACTGAGGGGCCCAGAACTGGATGCAGGACGCAAGGTGTGGGGTGGCTCTGCTCCCACAAGCTTGGGAAGGGCAGGACACTGCTCAAAGCACAACCTCAGGGTCCTTCCAGGAAGCAGCTCCAGCTCCTGACCAGAGCCACCCACCACACCAGGATGTTAAAGCCACCACTGCACAGAGGTCACACAGTCCCCAGGTGCTGCCCATGTCTGGATGCAGGGAGGGATGGAGGTCCCTTGGGCCACCCATTCCCAGGTGTGTCCTTTGGGAGCCCTCTGGATGCTCGGGTCATGCTGGACCTCTGTCCTCCTAGTGCATGGAGCCCATCTGTACTGTCCCAGGCAAGCTCTGCTCTGGAGATGCCACATGGACACAGCTCTTGGGTTTGGGAAAGGCCCAGCTGGCAACAACACCCAACACACCCGCCTCAGCACAAGAATAAACCCAGAGAGGAGATTTTCATCTTTGCTAGAGCATGTCCCAGCATGGAAGAGCATTGGTCTGAGATCTGAGGAGCCTCTGGCCTCATGCCAGGGAATGGCAGGGCCCCCATGGCACACAGTGGGCAAGGCACAGGTGTCAGGGTCTGTCCCCTCAAGCCCTGTCAGTGGGTGGAGGATCCAGCAGGATTTCTCCAGGGGGGATGCTCCAGAAGGAGCTGTGTGGCCACAGGCTGGTGTGCCAGGACTGCACTGCTGGCAAAGGCCCCGGGAAGGTTTGTTCCAGGACTCGGTGGCCCTGGGCACTGCAGGCGACTCCTCTACACCAGGCGCGAGTCCTGGCAGGGGACAGGGATGGTCCTGGCTGACAGCAATCTCCCCCTGCCCTGGCACCCCCATCAAGGCAGCACCCCAAGTGCCACTGTGTCACTCCTGTGTCCCCAGATGCCCTGGCAGGGTGATGCCTTACCTGGGAGGAGCAGAGCTGGGACACGTTGACCGCTGGCTCTTCCCAGGGCAGCTGCAAAATGCTGTAAGAGCTGCTTGCAGGGGAGCTGGGCAGCACAGGGGGGACGTGGCACTGTGCCCCCATGTCAGGCACCACGCCCTGCTGACAGGGCTGGTGTTAGTTTGGGGCTGATGGTCCTGCCGGGGTTGGGCAGCAGGAAACATCCCCGTTCCTGGGCAGTGTTGCAGCGAGGCTGAGGGATGTGTTCATCTGTTTGATCTTCTTTGGTTTTGATGAGCCCCTTCCTTAGTTTATTCATTAGCTGGTGGTTGGGAGCTGTGGGAGTGTCCATAGGCCCCATTGGTCCCCAGGGCCACTCAGTGAGTGTCCCCTCCTGACTCAGAGCTTTGCTGCTCCTCCTGCTCCTCTCTGTGTCCCCCACCAGCTGCAGCTCCTGTTCCTCAGCCCCGGCAGCAGACACTGTACCCCCCCAGCCCCAGATCTGCTCCCCTCCCACCTCCATGGCCCCCACCCAGCCCTCCCCCTCCCCAGCCCCACAGCAGTGCCCCTGGGGCTGCTCTGACACAGCTCTTGTGATGGCAGGGGATGGAACACCCGTGGCCTGTGTACTCAGGTGACCGGGCGCATTGTGGGTACAACCACATCACGGGGACACTGAGTGTGGGTGAACCCACACTGGTGTGAGGTGGAAGGGACAAGGAGCAGTTGGGCACCTCTTCCCAGGTGACATGGACATGGCCTTGTGAGCAAACAGGTCACAGTGGAGTGACCTGAGCACTTGGGGCCATTACAGCTTGGCCTTGGTGACACCGAGCCCTGGGAAACCACATCACAGGGGGAAGGAGGAGGAGCTCCTGTGAGACAGGTCCTTACAGCCAGGGCCCAGTGCCACCTCAGGGTGTCATGGGATCACAGAACATCCTCAGCTGGAAGGGACCCACAATGACCATCCAGTCCAGCTCCTGGCCCTGCCCAGGACACCCCAACAATCCCACCCTGTCCCTCAGAGCGTTGTCCAGACCCTCCTGGAACTCTGGCAGCCTTGGGGCTGTGCCCACTGCCCTGGGGAGCCTGTTCAGTGCCAACCACCCTCTGGGGGAAGAACCTTTCCCCAAGATCCAAACTGATCCACCCTGGCACAGCTCCAGCCATTCCCTGGATCCTGTCCCTGGTCACCCAGAGCACAGATTGGAGATGCCCCTGCACTGGCTCTCGTGAGGAAGCTGCAAACCCCAACGAGTCTCCCCTCAGTCTCCTCTTCTCGAGGCTGCACAAGCCAAGTGACCTCAGCTGCTCTGTGTATGGCCCCTCAGGGTCCCTTCCTCATCCCTGTGTCCCTCCCTTGGACACTCCTTACAGCTTCACATCTTTCTCATATTACGGTGCCCAAACTGCCCCCAGCACTGGAGGTGAGGCTGCCCCAGACCAGAGCAGAGCACGACAATCCCCTCCCTCCACCGAGGGAGGACTGAGCAAAAGGGGGGTGCTCCTATCCTGTACCCACCCATGCCCTGGAGCCAGCCCAGGATGGGCCACCTGGAGTCACTGGGGACCTGGAGCCAGGTGGCACCTGAACAGGGGTGAGTGAGAGCAGGTCACACTGAGCATCTAACCCCAGAATGGGCCAGTCTGGGCTAAATATGAGTCAGTTTATGGATCCTGCTTGTCTGGGCTCCTGGTGTTACAAGAATTTTGAAATTAGCAGTAGTATAGCTAAAGGTCTCTGTATAGAACAGGCCTGTTAGGCCCCAAAAAAGAATGGAATGTGCTAGCCATGCAAGAATAAGAAGGAACAGTTATCAAAAGAGGAACTGAAGCATAGAGAACATAGTTTTCTAATCTGCACCTGGGTTGTGGGAGTTAGTTAAATGAATTTTAGAGTTAGGCAACTGAGGATGATTTATGATGACCCAGTTAGGAGTTAATTATTTGGATGAAATATTAAGTTTCAATATGTACTTTGATGTAGTAACTTAGCAAATGTCTTTGTTTGTCTGAGTGTATAAAAGATGTACTCAGAATGGAGTCTGGTGGGATTCTGGCTTTGGACTTTAGTCCCCAGGTCCCCTGGGCCCATAATAAAGCACCGGCATTAACTAACACTCTGTTGGTTTGTGCTTCTTATCGTGGCGGGCAGCACTGGCTGTTCCACAGCCAGGATGAGCCGGCAGCAGCACCAAGGGACAGCCTCTGTCCCCGATGGGAACCTCCTCAGTTCCCACCTGCCTTCCAGAGGGAAGAGGAGCAGCCACTGGTCTCGCTGTCATCAGAGGATCTCCTGGGAGATCAGCTCCACCAATACCTCCCTGGTGCCCCTCAGGCCTCTGAGCTGACAGAGCAGTGACACAGCTGTTTATAGGGCAGTTCCTGCCCCTGATCCCACCTGCACACACCCCAGGGCAGAGGGGAGAGAGGGGACACTGGGGGGGCCAGGGAGGCTTCCCCTCCAGCCCTGGCTGCCAGGAGATGATCTGTCAGAGGGAACATCAGTGGAATACACAGGTCTGTGACACACGAGGCTGCTGGCCTGAGCATCAGCCGTTCCCAACACCCTTGTGGTGGGAGCTGGACACCAGGGGTGCCAGGGTGTCCCTGGCACTGGGACCTCCCTGTGACACTGGCATTTGACACCTTGACCCACACTTCCACGAGGAATACAGAACTCCTGCTCTCTGGGGTCTGAGCACAGTGTTTCACAGCAAAGTCAGGGTTCAGTGAAACCCTCTTCACAACCAGCATCAGCACTGCATGCCCCTGCCCTTTGCCCTGTCCTCCCCAGCCCCTACTTCCACACATAGGGAATAGAAGTGAAATACTAAAAAGGAAAAACATTGCTAAAAAACAAACACACATATCAGTGTCCTCTGGCTCACAGCACGGCCCCACACAACCCTGACAGAGCACTGAAGGGATGAAGTGCTCAGGCAAGTGAGGGGACAGATGGAAATCAACGAGCTTGGCTGCAGTGTGGCCTCAGGCAGGGCAGGGCCGGGCAGAGGTCTGGGGGATATGAAGGGATCCACAGCACCCACCCCCCCTCCAGGCAATTCCTGCCCTCAAAGCGGCAGTTTTAGGTACAACTGCTTTCCACGCAAAAGGCTTTAAATAAACCCCAATCCTTCAACGCATCTTTATTTTTACAATAGAACAACTGACACACCCAGCAGCGCTCGCGGGGCAGGACAACACAGGGGCTGGGGGGGCTGCAACAGGAACGCGGCACGGCGGGGGCTTTTGGAGGAATGTGGTGCTCAGGGATGACGCCGGGAGCAGCCCGAGGCCCCGGCCCTGCGGGCACCCTCAGTTCACACGGCAGGCCCGGATCATGAGCAGCTGGAGCAGGATGAAGACGGGCGACATGATGAGCCCGTACCAGAGCTCCCGCGTGTGTTCCACCAGCTTCTGGCACAGCAGCATCTCGAACACGAACTTGAGGCTGAGGATGGTGAGGATCCAGAAGAGCCGCAGCACCGCCAGGCGCTTCTCGCCGTCCTGGAACAGCCGCACGGACACGATGGTGGTGAAGTAGGTGCTGAGCCCGTCGGCGGCGAAGAAGGGCACGAACACGACCCACCAGGAGAGCGCGGCGGCCGCGCCGTCCACCTTGAGCACGAGCAGCACCGTGAAGGCGAGCAGGGCCAGCCCGTGCAGCAGCAGCTCGAACGTGGCGAAGCCCAACCACTGCACGAGCTCCCGCAGGGAGAACAGCATGGTCCGGGGGCGCGGGGACCCTGTCCGGGGGTACCGGCCCTGTCCGGGGGTGTCCGGGGTACCGGCCCTGTCCGGGGTACCGGCCCTGTCCGGGGGTGTCCGGGGGTACCGGCCCTGTCCGGGGTACCGGCCCTGTCCGGGGGTACCGGCCCTGTCCGGGGGTGTCCGGGGGTACCCGCCCTGTCCGGGGGTACCGGCCCTGTCCGGGGGTGTCCGGGGTACCCCCCCTGTCCCGGGTACCGGGCCCGGCCCGCCCGGCGCGGGCGGCGCGCGGTGATGGCGTCACAGGGGGCGCGGCGGTGGATGACGTCACCGGGAGTGCGGGTCGGATACGGGGAGCCCCTTCAGCAGCCGCGTGACGTCACGGGGAGCGGTCGCACTGCAGTGACGTCACGGCGGGATGGGCCGGCCCGTGGTGAGTCCGAAGAGCCGGGGGAGTCCCCGGGGATCCCGATCCGTGCGGGCCCTCTGCCCTGGGACGGGCCGGGAGAGCTCACCTGGAGAAGGGAAGGATCCAGGGACACCTGAGAGCCCTTCCAGGGCCTAAAGGGGCTCCAGGAGAGCTGGAGAGGGACTGGGGACAAGGCATGGAGGGACAGGACAGGTGTCCCTGCCCATGGCAGGGGGTGGGACTGGATGAACATGAAGGTCCCTCCCAACCCAGACCAGTCTGGGATTCTGTGATTTTGTTTTTTGTTATTGTCATATAATTCATTGTTAGCATTCTATGGGCACACAGTGACAGCAGCCACTGGCAGCTCAAACATCCCTCTGGGCCGGATTCCCTGCAGGATTCCCTGTCACACACAGGGCCCTGCTCCCCTGGGCAGTGTGGCTGAGGGCAGTGTGTGTCTGGTCACACCTTTCTCTGTCTCTGAGCTCCAGGCTCTTCCCCAGGTCTTCTCAAGTGAGGGGGATTTGTAGGGCAGACAGGAAAGTTAAAACCAGCGGTAGGAACAGCCGATCCCAGGGCTTCCCTTACCCTGTGGGGACGAAGGCAGTTTAACGAGCCCGGACGTGCATTTTGGTCCCTCCAAGTCCTGGCGGTGGGGACAAGGAGCACAGCATGTCCCTGCTGCTCCTGCAGGCCAGTGCTGGGTCCCAGCTGTTCACACCCCTGTGCTGTTTGCTGTGCCAGCCCCACGAATGTCACCTCAGCCCCCAGTCCCTGGTGCTCCTTTGGGTGGGGTTGGTGCTGCTGGGCCCAGGGCAGGCCTAGCTCTGCCCCCCAGCCCCCTTTCCCCTCTGGGTGTCGCTCTGGTTTGTCTTTGCAGATGGCAGAACGGAGGCTCCTCGTTCTCTTTGGCAGCCAGACGGGGACGGCCCAGGACACGGCAGAGAGGGTCGGGAGAGAGGCCACGCGCCGGCACCTGCAGTGCAGGGTGGAGGCCCTGGACAGCTGTGACCTGGTGAGAGGGGACACACGGGGGGCTCTGGGCACCGCTGCTCCTGCTCCATCCCCACCAGCCCCATTTCTGCCACTTGGGCGTCTTCCACCCTTGCAGTGACCTGCTGTGTGTCACCAGGGCCTGGCTCTGTGCCCTCCCTGGGGGCAGCTTGTGCTTAACTCAGCTGACAGGGTGGGCAAAGGGAGCAGGGACTGCTGGGGTGGAGGCACAGACGCTCAGCATTCCCTGCCAGGTGAGGGGCTGGTGCTGCAGGGACTGTGTGGGCAGCAGGTGCTGCTGCAGGGGCTGTGGAGGAGCTCGTGCCACGCAGGGCTGTGGGGTTTATTCCAGGTGTGGTCGGTCTGGGAGCTCACTGTGGTGTGGGCAGCCATGTGGGGACAGCCAGGACACGTGTTTCATAGGATGACATAAGGGTTTGGGTTGGGAGGGACCTTAAAGATCATACAATTCCACCCCCTGCCATGGGCAGGGATACCTTCCACCAGCCCAGGTTGCTCCAAGCCCCGTCCAACCTGGCCTTGGACACCTCCAGTGATGGGGCAACCACAGCTTCTCTGGGCAACCTGTGCCAGGGCCTCCCCATCCTCACAGACAAGAATTCCTTCCCAGCATCCCATCTAACCCTGCCCCCTGGCAGTGGGAAGCCATTCCCCCTTGTCCTGTCCCTCCGTCCCTTGTCCCCAGTCCCTCTCCAGCTCTCCTGGAGCCCCTTTAGGCCCTACAAGGGGCTCTCAGGTCTCCCTGGAGGCTTCCCTTCCCCAGCTCTCCCAGAGCAATTTGTAGGCTGCTGACCTTGTCATGCCTCTGTGCCCACAGGCCAACCTCATCCATGAGCCACTGGTGGTGTTTGTGTGTGCCACCACCGGCCAGGGAGACCCACCTGATAACATGAAGGTAGGACATATTCCCATCCATGTTTCTTTTATGTTCCTGATCCAGGGAATTCTCTTTAGAAGCAGCTTGAGCAGTGGCTGTTTTTGGAGGGGGGAGCACCAGTCCCCTCTCATGGGACACAGGCTGGTGAGGGAGCTTTCAGAGGCCACCCCTGCAGGAGGCCGTGCTCTGTGCTGTGCTGGGGCTCAGGATGGGCCTGCTGGAGGGCAGAGCAGGGCTCTGGGGCTGGCAGGCAGGGCAGGCTGCCTGTGCTGCAGCAGCTCTGTGTGCTCCGCAGGTGTTCTGGCGGTTCCTGTTCCGGAAGAACCTGCCACCCGGCTCCCTGTGCCAGCTGGACTACGCCGTGCTGGGCCTTGGAGACTCCTCCTACCCCAAGTAAGCAGCTCTGCAGCTCCTGGACGGCTGCTCCTCCCAGCTCTGGCTGCAGGAGGGACCACAGTGGCTGGAGAACAGAGGGGGTGGGGGGAGACAGAGCCTGACTCCAGATGAAATGTAATTCCTGCCAGCTTTAAAAATCCTTGCCCTACCAGGCTGTGTCCTTCCCATATCCCAGGAATTAGGCTTCTGCCCGTTTCTTCCCCCCCAGCCTCTCCAAGCAGGTGGTTTGCTGCAGTGGGTCAGACATCAGGTGTCAGTCATTTATTGCAGCCCTTCAGTTTTCCGTCTGAACTGCAGGGAAGCAACTTTGTGCCACAGCACAGGCTGTGCCACTTGCCAGTGGGCCGAGGCAACAGGAGACACCACAGATGGCAGCCAGCCCTGTTGGTACCAGTTCTATCCCAAAAGATTGTTCCCACGTGCCTGAAGGAGCTGTAGGGGGAGGGGTAGGTGTGCCTGAGCTCCATGGGGCAGTGAGGGGCAGGAGTGAAGGAAGTGTTCTGTGTCCCTGAAGGGAAGCTGGACCTCCATAAGTCCCTTCTGGGAGCTGGGCACAGCCTGTGAGGCCCAGCAAGTGGCAGCCAGCTGCTTCTGTGAGCTGCCCCAGGTTGGGGCACAGACTGGGCAGGGCACAGGCCAGGTTGTGGTGCTGCCTCTGTACTGCTCCACTGGCCCTGGCAGCAAGGGCTGGCTTCTGTGGGCAGTGCCTGGCTGTGTTGCTGGAGCAGCCCTGCCTTCACAGCTGTGTTATTCTCTGCTCAGGTTTAATTTTGTTGCAAAGAAGCTGCACAAACGGCTGCTACAGCTCGGGGGCAACCCACTGCTGCCAGTGGCCCTGGGAGACGACCAGCATGATCTGGGGTAAGAGTGTGTGGTGGGGGGAGCCCCTGGGTGCACTGCAGCTCTGTCCTGGGGAACAGCAGCGTGCTGCTCCCACCACGGGGCTGTGAACGTGCTGATCTCTGCTCATAACCCTGCTGTGCCAGGACCTTGTTCACCTGCTTCTGCAGGGTGTCCCACAACCCCCAGGATGTGCCAGCATCTCCTGGCTCAGCCCCAGTCCTGTTCAGAGCAGGGGATGGCTGTGTCACACAGCCCCATACCTGCAGCAGCCTGAGCTGTGCTCACCTGGCATGGGGCAGAGGCTCTGTGTGGCTCAGGGGGTTGGTGACGGCCACAGGTGGTGCTTAGGGGGCTCGTGGTTTTGTTCAGGTGTCAGTGGTTGGGCTCCAGAGAGCAGGTGAGTGCTTAGAGTGTCTGAGACGTTTCCTCCCAGACCTGAAGCTGGAAGGGAACAGCCTGGGGTGAGTGTGCAAGGGGAGCAGGGCTGCCCCAGCACTGGGCAGGTGCAGGGGGAGCAGGGCTTGGGCCCTAAGGGATGATGATGTTCTGCTGGAGCCTGAATTTCCTCTTGCAGGCCAGATGCAGTGGTTGATCCATGGCTTGTGGCCTTATGGGACAAGATCCTCACGTTGTATCCTCTCCCTCCTGGCCTTGAGATCATCAGCCCAGACACACGGTGGGTGCAGAGGGTGGGCAGGGTGAGCCCCAGTAGGGACTGGCTGGTGTGCAATGCCACACTTCCTTGGCTGTTCTCCAGAATGGAGCTGTGCTCTGCTTTGACCAGGAACCCTCCCCACGCAGCTACTGGTGTCCCAAGCGGTCCTTGTTCTTTGGCCCTGGTGGCCCATTCCTCTCTGGATGGCGTGTCCCCGTGTCCCCGTGGGTGTGTGTCAGCTGCCTCAGCCAGGTTGTGCCCATCTTGCCATCCTGATGGCAGAGTGTGTGTGCCCAGCCAGCCTCCCTCTGCCTGTTCTGGAGCCTTTGGAATCTCCTGGCAGTCTGCATTGCATTCCCTTACAAAAGCCAACTCCAGGGGACAGGGATGATGGGTGGTGGCTGCAGTGGGAGACTCCAGGCCTCTCCCTGGAGCAGCAGAGGAGCTGTGACATGGAGTAAGCGCTGCATTGCTCTCCTCCCCACAGCTTGCCCCCCAAATACACCCTGCACTACCTGCCTGAGGACTCCCCAGCCCCCGAGGGTGACCTTCTCCAGCCGACAGCGCCCAGGGCTGTTCCCTCTGAGCTCCATCCCTTCGCTGCCCCCGTGGTGTCCAACCGGCGGCTCACGGCACAGTCGCACTTCCAGGACGTGCGGCTCATCGAGTTCGACATCACGGGCTCGGGCATCACGTGAGCATTTTCCTGACTCCCCCAAGCTTTGTCCTGTGGTGTCCTGTAGCCTGCCCTCCTCTACCACTCCCTGTCTCCACTAATATCTGAGGTTGCAGCCCTGGGGACGTGGTCCCTGCTGCATGGTCCCCCTCCATGACAAAGTCAGGGGTGTGTGGCAGTGGGGGTCCTGCCCATGGACCAGTTTTCCTTGTCTGTCAGTTAGAGAGCATGTTGATGACACTGGGAATTTGCCTCCCCTGGTGTGGTTGCTGGTCAGGGTGGAAGTGCTGTGGCTCTGCCCTGTGGCTCTGCCCCGTGGCTGTGCTCAGCAGCTCCTGCTGCATCCACAGGTTCAGTGCAGGGGACGTGGTGATGATCCAGCCCCAGAACTGCCCTGAGGATGTACAGCAGTTCTGCCAGCTCCTGCGCCTGGATCCAGACAAGCGCTTTGTGCTGAAGCCCACGGAGCCTGGTAGGTCCTGCCCACTGCTCCTTCCCCTCCCTGCTGGGACAGGGCAGCCCCTGAGCTCTGGCTCAGCCTGCAGCTCTGCTCTTCCTTTGCTGGGGCCCTGGGTCATGGAGTTGGGAGTGTCAGATGGATACAGGACACCTGCCTGTCTGGCAGTATGGGGACTGTCCCTCTCTCCAGTGCTGTGATTGTGTGGATCCTGCACAGGGTTTGTGACTGTGGGAGGAATCCAGCAGTGCCAGGTTCCACCTGGGCCTTGTGCCTTGGCAGTGCCCAGCACAGGGTGGGGATGATCCTGCAGCCTCCTCAGCCTCAGACCAGGTCAGGAAACCTGTGCTTCCTTGTGGGGGGAGTGCAGGTCTCCCCACTCTACTTTCACTCCAGGGACCTCCTGCGGGTGCTTCTGCAGCTGCAAATGAGCTCCAACAACCAGAGAAACCCCTTGGAGGCCACTCAGAGCCCTTGGAGGCTCTTCAGTCTCCAGGGAATTGGGACAGTTTTCTCTCCTGGCTCCTGAGCACCTATTCACCCTCCATCTTTCCTGTGTCTGTCTGTGCTGGAATTTTTGCCTGGCAGGCAAACCCAAGAGAAATTCAGGCTGCTCCTCACACCCTTGGGACGTACAAAGGAAACAAGGACAGGCTGACACATATGACACTACTGGTTATTTCCACTGCATTGTGTGCAGGATGGGTGGGAGCCATATGGATAAGGCATTATCCCAAAGCACTTCCCAAAAGCATGGGACAGCTGAACACCACTGACTTGCTCTGTTGCCAAACCTGTGGGCTTGAAAAGCAAACTGGGGAGAGCAGGAGGGAGTGGGGCCCCATGGTGGGAGCAGTGGGAGCTGAAGTTGGCTCCTCTGGCGTGTTGGTGCCATGTGTGGGCACCCAAAGGCAGCAGGGCTGCCCTGGTGTGGGGACAGGCAGTGCCAGGCATCCATCCTGAGCTCTCCCTGCTGCCTTGCCTTGCAGGCACATCCCTCCCTCCCCTCTTACCACAGCCCTGCACCATCCGGCACCTGGTCACCCACTACCTGGACATCTCCTGCGTGCCACGGCGCTCCTTCTTCGAGCTCCTGTCCCACTTCTCCACCAACGAGCTGGAGCGGGAGAAGCTGCAGGAGTTCAGCTCTGCTCAGGGCCAGGAGGAGCTGTACAGCTACTGCAACCGGCCCCGCAGGACCACGCTGGAGGTGAGGCTGGGCAGCAGGGCGCACCTGCTCCACGAGGGCTGTGCCATGGCAGAAAGCACCCAGGCAGATGATCAGCCACAATTTCATGGCTGGGGAATTTAACCTACTTCACCCACTTTCTGAAGTGCCTCTGGCTTTCCACTGGCAGTTAAGACCAGCTCTCGATCCTTCTGGGCTCTCAGGTGGGCTCTGTGCTGCAGCCTGGGAGGCAGAGGGCAATAAACACGGTAGGGTGGTTGGTGCTCAGAGGTGCCCGGTGGGGTGCTTTGGTCGAGGGCATCGTGGCACAGCCATGTGGGACAGCCTCTGGCACACTGAGAACAGGCAGGCTGCCTTCTGGGGGGATGCAGATTGTCCTCTGGGGTGCAGCAGGCCTCACCCCTCTTGTCTTTGCAGGCCCTGTGGGACTTCCCTCACACCACGTGTGCCATTCCAGCCGATTACCTGCTGGACCTCATCCCTCGCATCAGACCCCGCGCCTTCTCCATCGCCTCTTCCATGCTGGTAAGAGCTCAGCCCTTTTGGTCTCATTTCAGGCTCTGGGCTGGGGGTATGGCAGGGCCTGGGCTGGCTGTGCATGCCTTGGGTGTCCAGGCTCTACTCCCAGGCCCCCAAACACCCACAGCTGCTCTGCAGTGAGTCCACAGCAGCCCAACCTGCTGGGTGCAAACCTCAGAGCTGTGCCAGCCTCCAGATTTGGGCACTTGCTCTCCTGCAGCCCAGTAAGTGCCATCCCACTGCTCCTCAGAGGTCTGGTGTCCTTATCACCAGGAGCAGAGGGATGTGGTGCTGTGAAGGCTGGGAGTGCCCCGGGTGGCCGTGGGGAGCAGGAGCGCTGCTCCCTGTGCTGCCGGGAGGTGGCAGTGGGACCCGGCCCGGTGCTGGCAGACATCAGCCCCGTGCACGGCTGGATGTGTCCTCCATGGGGGCCTCTTGGCTTGGACAGTCACTGACACTGTTGCCAACTGTGCAGAGCATTCCTGCAGCAGTGCTGCTCTGGGAAAAAACATTGGAAAGGTTTTGGGCAAGGGTGTGCTCCGTTCTAAGTGACTGTTTTGGGCTAGGATGAGTGTTGCAGGTACCCTGGCAGGAGCTGGGCACAGGTTTTGTCCCTGGAGGAGGTGCTGGGCCCTTCCTGTGCAGCTGTTCTGGGTATCTCCTCATTTCTCATGGCTCCTGTCTGGACACAGGCTCACCCTGACAGGATCCAGATCCTCATGGCAGTGGTGCAGTACAAGACACGGCTCAGCAAACCCCGCCGTGGGCTCTGCTCTACCTGGCTGGCTTCTCTCAATCCAGAGCAAGGTAATTGCTTGGACTCTGTGCCTGTCACAGCACCCAGCAGTGATCCCTTGGGACCTTGGTGGAGCTGTGTGTGCTGGTCATTTGCTGGAGCTGCCTGGGCCCTGTCTGGAGCACCATCTCCCTGTGGGGCTGGAGCACACTGGCTTGGCAGGATGAGCTGAACTCACAGCTAGCTGTTATTCCTCGCTGCTCCCATCCTCTTCAGAGCATGGTGTGCTCCTCCTGCTTCCCCTGAGCTCCTGATTTTCTCCCAGCTACTTGACCCTCCTGCTGTCCCACTGTGCCCTGCTGTCCCCCTGAGGGCTGCTCTGTAGTATTCTGGCTGCTGGACACCTCCAGCCCCGTAGCCCCAGCTCTGGAAAGGCTGGTCCTTCCTTTGAGCACATCCACCCTGTCCTGCAAAGCCTGTGTGTGCTGCTCATCTTCTCTAACCACAAACCACCTCCAGTGGGTCCCCACACAAATGTGGCAAGCTCATGGGGTCTCCCAGCTGCAGAGTGGTAGAGAATTCCTCTGTGTGACTCCAGGGCAAGACAGGGGCTTCTCAGGGTGCCTCCATGGGGCTCTTCACCAAGATGAGTTGTGTGGCCTCCCTTCCATCCAGCCAGGTTGGGGTCTCTGCTTGCCTTCACCGCTGTCCTCTCTGGCACAGGCTGTGTGAGGAGAAGGCTGTCCCACAGCCTGGGTGCTGAGGGGCTCTTGCCCTGCTCTGGGGTTCACTCAGGTTCTTGCAGAGGAGGTGCTGAGACAGCTGAAGCACATTCCACATACACAGAGTGTGCCCTTGGTGCTTGGGGTGGTGAGCCAGGCGCTGTTCATGTCTTTGGAGCATCCTGGAAGAGCCTGGCTCACCCTCTGCAGGCTGTGCCAGGGCAGGGCTGGTGGGGTGATGCTGTTCAGTCTGTTTGTTTGCAGGTGATGTCCGGGTGCCTCTTTGGGTGAAGAAAGGAGGATTGAAGTTCCCAGCTGACCCTGCCACCCCTGTGATCATGATTGGCCCTGGCACAGGGGTGGCACCATTCCGAGCAGCGATACAGGAGCGGGTGGCACAGGGACGTACAGGTGAGGGGTGGTCCTGGGAGGGACTTGGGGTGCCCCTCGCTGCAGACAGGTCTGTGTCAGGGACTGGGGGCTCGTGAGGGTTTGGAGGTGTGATCATCACAGGAGGGGCGCAGGGTTCGCTGTGTTTGAGTGGGAGCAAGCTGGGCTCAGGGTCAATGAGGACCAGGGCCTGTGTGTGCAGTCTTGTGTGATTATTCACAGGCTGTGCTGCAGGGCAGCTCCTTGGGTCAGGATAGGGCTTTGCAGAGGCTTCCTTGGCTCTCTGAGAGTGAAGATGGGTTACTGAGCTCATCTGCTCCTGCACAAGGAGTTGTGCCTCTACCCTTGTCCCCTGCTCATTCCCCTGGCTCAGCCATGAGTCTCAGCAGGAAGCTGAGGCTGGTGGAGGGGAACAGGCAGCCCTGGGGGACACTTCTTGCCCTACCTGCCCCCCACCTCCTGCTTTTCCAGTACACAGGGGCCTCTGGTTGCCATGGGTCACTTGACTTCATGCTCACGTGGCTCCTGGCTCTTCCAGGCCAGGGCTGCCAGCCAGGTGCAGCAGAGAGGTGGGAGCCTCTGGTCTCAGCCCCAGGGCCCGTGGGCACCAGCAGTGCCCAGCACTCACAGGGCATTCAGTCCTCTCAGCACAGCCCCTGTGCTCTGCCCTCTGCAGGGAACTGCCTCTTCTTTGGCTGTCGACAGAAATCCAAGGACTTCTACTGTCAGGCAGAGTGGGAAGAGCTGGTGGCAAAGGGCTTCCTGACACTCTTCACAGCCTTCTCCAGGGACCAGGTTAGTTCCCAGAGGAGGAGGGTGGATACAGAAGCATCTCAGCCAGCACTGATGAGACTCTGTCAGTGTGTCTGTCCCCTGTAGCTGTTGGCATGGCCTGTGAGGAATCCAGTGGGGTGGCACAGTGTCACCTCACTCCCCCACACCCCTTAGTGCTGGCCCCCCAGCTCTGCAGTGCCAGAGCCCTGCAGGGACGTGTGTGACTGGAAAGGCTGCTGGGACGGGGCTGGAGAGCACTGCAGCAGATAAGGCATTAGCCAGCTTTGCTTGGCTGGACCACGTGAGTGATAAAAGGCTCCCAAGCCTCTCTGGGGGTTACCAGGCAATAACTTTCCTTGGTTAAGTAGCACCCTTGTCACTGTGTCCCTCTGAGCACTGGCTGAGCCCAGGGAGCTTGGCCTCTGTGCCAGCTCTCCCCAGGTCTCAGCCATACAGGAGACAGCTCCCTGCGGTACAAGCATCCCCACAGCTCAGCCCCTCACTTTGCTCCCTGGTTTCCTAGACAGTGTCTGTGGTGAGCAGCTCTCATCCCCCCTCAGGGCTGCAGGGCTTGTTATGCTGCCAGAGAGGCTCCCTGAGCTGGGGTTCTGTTTCACTGCCTTGCCCTGTCCCTTGATGGCACTGAAAGCTCAGCCTGGCTTTGGAACAGAGATCTGATAAAAAGGGAATGGAGATCTTTCAGTAGCTCAGCTGCACCAGCCCTTTCTCCTGGCTGTGTGCATGTGTTGACATAAATCCAGCATCTTTTATCCACTCACTTGTAAGGCATGAGCTGGATGCTCCTGTGAAGGCTTTCCAAGTCTGCGATGAACAGGAGCAGCACTGCAGAGGGTTGTTGGATGACCAGTGAAAGGGGGCCCTCCTGCTCCCAGAATCTGGAGAGCTGCCAGAGTCACCTCCTGCCCTCACAGACTCTGGAGGGACAGGACTCCCATGGGAGTCCCTTCCTGCTCCACAGGCCAAAGCACTTTGTCCTGACAGTCTCCTGCTCCTGAGTCGTGCCAGGGGGTGAGCGGGAGCACAGCCAGGTGGGATGAGCTGCATTGGGCTGTTGTACCTTGGGCTTCAGGAGATACCACAGCCCTTAACTCATCAAAAACTTTGTTGTCAAAAAGCCTGGCAGGGGCTGGGATGCTCCATAGGGGAGCAGGATTTCCCTCTGCTCTCTTAAGGTGCCCTTTGCAGTGACCTGCTGTCACATCACTCTGCAGATTGATCCCAGCCTAACGTGGCTGCCTCTAACTCTGAGCAGGGTGCCCTGGGGTTTAGCTGAGACTCTGTGACCCCAGTTTGTCACTGGAGTTCTCTGGTTTCTGGGCAGTTGCAGGTCCTTAAATGACCCCCTGAGAGCCCCAGCCTGGCTGGCAGGGCCACTGGCAGCGCTCAGCTCGTTACTGTTAATGATGTGAGGCAGAGCTGAGGTGCTCCTGACGGGCATCACCGGTCAGAGCCTCAGAGCTGTGCCCAGGTCGGCCTGGCACTCCAGGGCAATCAGCCAGTGGGGCTGTGGGACCTGCTGCCCACATGGTGAGTGACCCCTGTGCCAGCCAGGGCTGGTGCTGCTCGGGGTTGTTCCCACCCACACCTCCAGCCTGCAGCACACAGAGCCCTGAGCCACAGGGAGAGCCGTGCAGGCTTTGGGGCTGGACATGGGGAGGGGGCGTGGGGAGGGGGCTGTGCCTGTGGCTCAGCTCACTGCTGGGCAGAACCTGGCGTAGTGGGATGCCCAGCACAGGACCTGGCCTTCATCACAGTGTCACCTTTGTCACAGGAGCCCTCTGGGCCAGCAATGAGTTCAGGCACGTTAGCAATGGTGTTCTCTTGGGCAGGAGCCAGGGCCGTAGGCAGTTGCTTGGATTCTCGGAGTCTTGTGGATTAACCCTTTGGGAACTCTCCTTGGGCTGTACTGTGCCAAAAGCCAGCCCCTAAGCACAGTGGAGAAACAGGGAATGGGACCAAGGCCATCCCTCCAAGCTTTCTGCCCTCCCAAGCTGTTTCAGGTCTCCAGCAGCCAGGGGTGTGGGGAAGGGTCCTTGTCCTGGAGCAAATTTGACACAGGGAGGCCACAAAGCCTCTTCTGCCTGTGCTGGGAGAAAAGGGCAGAGGGCAGGAAGGAAATCCTCATGGGGCCTCCCCACCTCATGATCCTGGAGGCCAGTGTACACCCAAAGAGTTGGGAGGGCTACTTTGTCCTCACTGAAGCTGCTGCTGCTGCTCCCATTTCCCTGCAGCCCCTCTCAGTGCACTGACACCAGATGTGGGTTCCCCTTCCCTGGGTGGTCACTGATCCAACTGCTTTTCCCAGTGCCCCTGCCCTGGGGGGCTGTGCTGCCCTGAGCCCTCGCAAGCAGCCCCTGAGAACAGTGCAGAGGCAGGAGCTGTGGCTGCTGCCAGGGCTGGGGTGCTCAGTGCTCTGTTCACCCGCAGGAGGAGAAGGTTTATGTTCAGCACCGCATCCGGGAGAACCGCGGGCTGCTCTGGGAGCTGCTGAGCCGTGGGAATGCTCACATCTACCTGGCTGGGTGAGTGAGGGGTCCCTGCACAGGGACTGGGGAGCAGGGCTGCATGTTGCTGCTTCTGCAGCTGCTTGGAGACATTCCCGGGGCTCAGCCCCTGGACTGAGCACAGCTCCTACCCCGACAGGGCCCTGGGGGCTGCAGTGGCTGCTGCAGAGGGACAGCTCGTTCCTCCTGTCCCTGTGTCCTGCTCTGTATACCCTGGCCTCAGAGGGTCATTTCTCACCTGAAACTGGGGAAAAGGGTTCCGTGGTGCCCGTGGCCACTTGTGGGCAGAAGGCTTTGAAAGCATAATATACCAGGGCTCCAGAGCAACAGCTTTGGGACCGTTGGCACATTCTGTCTGGCTCTTCACACCCAAAACTGCTTCCCAGGGCAGGGACAAGCCCTGTTGCACCACAGCCAGTCTCCTGTGACAGCACAGTCAATCTCCAGGTGGTTGTCTTGGGCTGGTTGGCCATCTTGAACTGCTGGCCAAAGGAGGGATCTGGTCTTTGGAGGCAGAGTGTTGGCAGCTCTGAGCTCTGTGCCTCTTTTCCTGGGCAGAGCCCTTGACCTGCCTGCCCCTGCACAACTCCCTGCACAACAGGGAGGAGAAGAGGCTTCTCCTCATTGCCCAGGGCGAGGGTTGTGAAATGCTTTGGGCTCTTGAGCTGGCAAGAGGCTGGTGATGGTGTTTGTGGTGCACCCCGTGACCTGGAAAGGGCTGTGCCAGCCTGGGCCTTGCTGTCCCCATGAGCAGCAATTGCAGGAGGTTCCTTCCTGCCTGTCCTGTGCAACAGCAGGAACTTCCCTGGCACCTGTGGGGCCAGACTGGCCTCGCTGCATTCCTGGGAGAGGGAGATTCTTGTTTACTGCCCGGGAAGTGGAGGCCAGGCCTCCCACCACACTGTCCATCACTGCTGCCTGCCCTGCTGCCTGTGCTGCCGGGCCTGGCTGCACTGCAGGGCTTCCTGGGCCCTTACCCCAAACTGCTGGGTTCTTCTTCCATCCCCTTTCCTACTGTTCTTCTTTGATCCTGTTCCCTACTTTCTGGTGCTGATGGAGATACCCTGGGGGTTCCCAAAAGAGGATCAGTGTCTTGGAAAGAACAGGGCTTGCACAACTGTCCCCATGGCAGGATTGTGAGTGGCCGTGAGGGTGGTGTTTTGGATGTCGGGGTTGCTCTGAGACTGAGGTCTTTGTCCCTGGCATGGGGTGTCCCTCAGCCCCCCTCAGGCAGGTGGGATCCTTGTCCTCCCTGTACAAGTGTCTGCTTGCAGAGGGGACTGTCCCTCCCCTACTGAACAGCCCACACCATGTGGAAGGACTCCCAGGATCACCCTGCCCTTTCCTGGCCCACAGACTCTCAACTGCCTGTGGGGTGCCAGACAGGAAGGTGCTGGTGGGCAAGCCTGAAAATGGCCTTTTTCCCCCTAAAAACAGTATTGAGAATTTCAACCAGACTAAGAGAAAGTGAGTCCTGAGCTGTGTGTCCCTGAGCAGTGTCCCTGGGGCATGTCTGCCTTCAGCCAGGTCAGCTGTGGGGAGCCAAGGCTGTATCTTCCACAGAATTGTTCCCAGCTTGTCTTGCCATGGGGCAAAAAGGTTGAAAATGTCTCTCTTTTTCTGAAAAAAATAGCTATTTGACATGTTTTCCATCACAAAGCCCAGCTCCATTATCTTGTACTTGCATATCACTGCCTGACTCAGAAACAATACGACTCTTCCAAAAAAAGAAGACCTCCTTTCTGGGTATTTTGGGATGTTAATCAGCTTCAAACGCAAGTCAGAATTCTGCCTTGTTCTTGGGAAACAGCAAGGACGTTGCCAGATGCTCGTGCCAATTGGAGCAGCCTGGGAAATTTTTTATTAGATGTGTTTTTTTTTTGTCGCACAGGCAGTTCATCAAATGAAACTCTATCCAGGAAAAAAAGTCTGAATTTCTGATTTCCCCTAAGAAATAATTGTGCTTGAAGGCACTTAATTCTATTTGGGTATTTTTTGCACAGGGGCTCGTGTTTTCTCCTGCATTTCTCTTATTTTGAGGTTTGAACTGGCTTCAGTTCCAAATGTCACCATCACACCAATCATCTTGGATTTCCTGAGAGCAGGCAGCAGCAGGACGGGAGCGGCTGCTCCTTCCCAGCAGTGTCTTACCCAGCTCAGGATCAGACATGTTTGACTTTGAGTGATTCCTGAGAGGAAAGGACAGTTTCCTGCCCTCCTGCCGATAAATTCCATCTCTCTGCATATTCCTTGTGTCCCTCTAATGAGGATGCTGGCAAATGGAGCCATGTGGGGCTGCAGTTCGGGCTGCCGAGCTGTGATGCTCCTTCCCCGAGGTCAGGGTACTGCAGCCACAGCTCTTCCTGCAAATGGGAAGCCCTTTGGATGATGGGGCTGCTCTCGAGGGAGGGGTAGGATGACAACCCTGTCATTTATCAGGTGCTAGGCAGCCCATGTGGCAGGGTGAGACAGGTTCCCACTGCCCTGCTGCCCCCTGATCCCAGAGCACTGGAGCTGCTGCCCCTGGTTTTCCTTTCTCCCTCCACTGTGGCCCTGCTCTTTCCCCCAGGAATGCTAAGCAGATGCCAGTGGCGGTGGCCGAGGCCCTGCGGTCGGTGCTGGAGCTGGAGGGTGGGCTGTCACCCTCAGAAGCAGAGGAGCATTTAACAGCCCTGGAACGGTCCCAGCGCTTCCAGTCTGAAACCTGGTCCTAAGCCTGGCTCCCTGCCTCCCCCTTCCCCACAAACTGCCTCAATAAAGGAGCCAGCACAATGATCTGCCTCTGGCATCTTCCTTGGGCTGGGATTACCCCAGTCTGGGCAGGGGCCTGGCCAGGGGGGTGGATTTACCCAACCAGCCCTTCCCTGATGGTAACAGGGCCAGGTGGGCGGGGGGGGGGCTGTCTCCTGAGCAGATGTGTTTGGCTCCCCATGCCCAGTCCCTGCTGGAGCAGAGGTCAGGGCTCTCTGATCTGCTGTCCCAGGTGCTCCAGCCCCGGGGGTCTCCATGCAGGGTGGGCAGCACCGATGGGCATTGCTGGAGCCACAGCAATGGCAGTGGCCACTGTTTGAGGCAGGGCCCGGAGGAAGTGAACTGTTGCATGGGAGTCTCTCCACCCTGGCATTAGTCAGCAGCGTTTGCTGCAGGAGGAGGCTGCCTGGACAGACCTGTTCCCCCTGTCTCCGGTGGCCAAGGCCAGCAGGGACAGGCACAGGAGGAAACCTCGATCCCTCTGTCTCTGCTGCCAGTTCATCATCCTGAGCCTGCTTAATGCTGAGCTCTGAGCTCTGTGTGCCAGCTCCTGCTGAGTTATTGCCTTCCCTGAGCACCTGCTCTGCTCCATCCATCCTCCACCCCATCCTGGGAGCCTCTTCCAGCCCTTTCCCTACAGCCTCAGGGTTGTGCACTCTCCTGGCCCTGCCACTGCCCCAGTGGGACCAGTGCCACCACCTTCCTCCCCCAGTTCAGCAAACTGGGTGCCACCACGTAAATAGCAATTAGGACCCAGGGCATGAATCAGCCAGGGACAGTCCCTGGGAGCAGGCTGGGACAGGAAGGGACAGCGGTGTCACACCACACCTGTGACCCAGCCACCCTCCCACGCTCCGAGTCATGGGGTCCTGCAGGGGTGAGTGGAGCCCCGGGGCATTGCTTGAGCTGTGGCACCCCAGTGTGAGGGAACAGGGTGCTTTTGGGGCTCCCCACCCCTCTGCTTTGTCCTGAGGAGCTCTTGCACTTGCAGCCCCTGGCTGGACTGAGTGTCCCCATGCCCAGGGACAGCCAGGGGGACAGTGCAGAGCTACTGCACAGCAGTCATCATGCTGGTGACACCATCCCCGAACGTGGGGCACTATCCAGGAAGGATACTTCCTTCCAAGCCCTGCAAACTGCTTGTGGAATATGACAGGGAGAGATGGCCCAGCACAGGGACTGACCTGGGAGCTGGACTGGAGCAGCACAGGGCCCGTGCTGGGGAGCTCTGCTGGTCTCTGAGCTGGGGGGCTGTTCTGGAGGGGCCCAGGCTGCCGTGCCCAGGGGCAGAGGTGTGGGGAGCACCGGCCACAGAGGTGTCTCCCTTCGTGCTGGGCCAGGCGAGGAGGCGGCCGTGGGCCCAGCTCCTCCCCGGCTGCAGCGGGAGCTGATTGGCGCGGGCATGGCTTCCTGCCCCGGGCTGCTGCATTTGAGCAGCTTCCAGAAGCTGACAAACCAGACTGGTTAGAGCCAGGCTCGGCCCCAGCCCTGCCTGGCCCACAGCAGGAGGCAGCTGCCTGTGCGGGTGCCCGGCACGCCTGCACCCCTTCTGGCACGGCAGGCAGAGCCCAGCGCTCCCCTCCGGACCGTGGCGGGTCAGTACTGCGTTGGTGCTGGGGAGGAGGAAGAGGAGGAGGAAGAGGCTGTTGGATGCTCATGGTGATGCCCCTCTTGGGGTGTTCTGTCGGTGAGGATGATGGGGGTACACCCTGCTTCGAAGGCTCCTGACCCTTTGGTCTGGGAGGGCGCCCCAAACTGTGCCAGAGGAATGGTGGGACTCTGTGCACATGCTGCTGCCTTCAAACCCTTCTGGCAGCCGTGCTGAAGGCTGCCTGCTGCCCTGGAGCAGCACCCACGTCCCGCACCCAGCCCCAAGGGGCCTCGGGGGGCGGTGGGTGAGGGGGACGGACGTGGAGCTGCCGTTCTCATGGAGGCAGCAGCAGGCGAGGAGGCAGAGCCTGGGCCCCAGCCTGTGCGGACGGCTGGTGGGGAAGGCTGTGCCAGGCAGCGGGGTGAGAGCGAGACTGTGGGGTCAGGGGACCCTGGGGAGCCATCCCAGCTCTGTGGAGAGGCGTCTGCTGCTGCCTGGGGACACTGGAACCCGCCGCCAGCGGAGGATGCAGCGGAGCCGCTCCTGCCTGGGCACGACGAGCCGCCTGCCCACGGTGCCTCCCTGCCTGCAGGGCAGGACCCTCCTGCTGCCACCACCCCCAGCCCCATCCTGCCCCGCAGGGAGAGCCCAGTGCCGTGGGGGGTGTCTCCCAGCACGGACAGCGACTCCAGCTCCATCCTGAGCCTCTTCGGAGAGGAAGAGGCGATGTCGAGCGATGCGGTGGCGGTGGCAGAGCCGTGCCGCGTGCTGGCGGGCGGTGAGGACGAGTGCCCCATCTGCACGGAGCCCTACGACGAGCAGCGGCACAGGCCGGCCCTGCTGAACTGCAGCCACGGGCTGTGCCGAGCCTGCCTGCGGGCCATCATGGACACGGCCGGCGGCGCCGACTTCGGCCGCGTGCGCTGCCCCATCTGCCGCCAGAAGACGCCCATGCTGGAGTGGGAGATCTGCAAGCTGCAGGAGGAGCTGCTCCTGCTGCACGCCCAGCCCGGCTCCCCCGGCACCCTGGCCACCCCCCGGCCCCCCGCCCTGCCGCCCCGGCGCCCCGGGCTGGCCGGTGCCCTGGAGCATCGCTTCCAGGTGCGCTTCCACACCAGCCGCATGTTCGGGTGCCTGCCCTGTGTGCGGTACCCGCCCTGCCTCATCCAGGGGCTGGCGCGGCTGGAGCGCCGCTGCCGCTGCTGCTACCTCCTGCTGCTGGTGCTGCTGCTGGCGGCAGAGATGCTCAGCCTGCTCCTCATCTTCCTCCCCATCGTCCTCATGGTGATTCTCTTCCTCATCCTCGATAAATAGCGCTGCGTTGGTGCCCGCAGGCTGTGCTGTGCATGGGGAGAGGAGCCCTGCTCCCACTCTGCCCCTGGGGCTGCAGTTGTGCTGTGGTGCCAGCTGGGAGCAGGCCTGTGACCCCGACCTGGTGCTGCCGGTGAGCCTGGATCGGATGAGGCAGCGAGGAGCTGGAGCAGCAGCCAAGGGAGGCAAACCCGGAGCTGGGCAGTGCCTGTGTCCCACTGGGTGACACAGCCTGGAGCAGTGAAGGGCAGGTGGAGTGGGACCCCTTCCTGCACAGGGGCACAGCCCTGGCACAGGGCTGGGAACCAGAGGGGCTCTGCAGGCAGAGCAGGACTGTGCCATGGGCTGTGCCATGGACTGTGCCATGGGCTGTGCCATGGACTGTGCCATGGACTGTGCAGCCCAATCCCGTGACAACCTGGGATTCCCCAGTATGGACTGGAAATACAACCTGCATTTGTACCACAACCATGTCCAGCTGAGTTCAGTGCTTGGTCCAGGCTGAGCATTGTCCCCTTGGGGCCCAGTGGTGGCACAAGGAGGGGACAGGCACAGCCAGTGGTGCCCAGGCACCCTGAGAGGAGTGTCCATCCCACCCAGCACCTCCCAGCCCCCCCGGGCCGTGCCAGCCCGTGCTCAGGCCATGCCCTTCGGGCAGATAAGAGAGCAAACACAGCTCTGTCCCTGCAGCACATGGGTGGAGGAGCCTGTGGTGAGCAGCACTGGGGCTGTGCCCACGTGGGACCTGCCCGTGGCTGCCGTGGAGCAGGAGTGTCCCAGGGCTGAGCAGGGGCTGGGCTCTGCCTTTGCCTGGGGATGCCTCCAGGCTTTCAGCCACCTTTGGGCTGGTAGTGAGTGGCAGGGAGTTGTCAGACCCTCAAGATGACCCCAGGATACCATTTGAGGGGTGCTGGCACCCATGGTCGCAGCCTGGGATGTGCTGCTCTGTATTTATCACTGCTGGCCTCCTCTGGGTGCCCTGCCAAGGCTCTGCACAGACCCTGGGCCAAATCACCTCCTGTTCTGTCACCCCTCTCTGTCCCCCCCTGCCCACCCCTGCTGAGGAACTGGTGATACCGCTGTGCCCTGTCCTCCTGCCCAGCCATGCCAGGCTTGTGCAACCATCCACATGTCCCAGGTTTGCCCTTCTCCCCTGGGAACACACCAAGGGCACCTCCCCAGGGCTGTGGCTGTGGGGGACCACACAGAGCCCCCCTTCCCCTTCCCCTTCCTCCTGCACAGGGAACCAGCTTGGTGTGGAGTGAGCACTGCCCTGCCCACACAGCCCTGCAGGAAACACATGTCCCTGTGCCCGTGGGGGCAGAAATTTGGGCTTAGGCTTTGCCGGGGCACTCATGCCACTCCCAGCATCAGCCCTGCCATGTGTTGCTCTGGCAAAGTGCCTCAGAGGATAGGAGCAGGGCACCCCAAAACAGGTCAGGCCAGGAGGCAGAGGGGTTCCCCCCAGCGCCTGTGGCACCAAGGAATATTTATTTATACCAAGTGGAGCAGCTCCATCAGGAGAAGCGTCGGCTCAGCCCTGGCTGGGGGCATTTTGGGCTGGCTGGAGCCTGCAGGGAGGGGAGGCTCAAACACCCGGGGGGGGCCCTGTCACCACGTGGGCCCCTGCACGTGTCCCTGCTCTACATTGCAAGGGGGTGTGAGAGGTATGTGGGTGAACCAGGCCAGAGCTGCCCCAGGGGACGTGCAGAGCACAACATGCCCTCCCCTCGCCACTGCCCACACCTCGGGGTGCTGAGCGCTGAAGGGCACCTCCATCACCCCGGGGAGGGGTCCCTGGGGGGCCGTGGTGCAGGATGGACCCCCAGGGTGATGCAGAGCCCAACTGCAGTGTCTGCTCCCAGGGACTGGGTTATATTTAGC